ATTCTGGCAACTCCATGATTAAGTATGGTAATGTTCATTCTTTAAACAAGGAGATGGAGGCTGGCAGAGGCAAGGAATACACTAACAATTTGCAGAACCAGAACTGGAATGTACGTTTCTCTGATCACATAGCTTATGCTCTTTCCTCAGGCCACATTGTTTCTGTGTGCAGAAGCCACCTTGCTGTGTCTTTCTCACTTTTGGTATTGATGAGTTCCACTGCTCATTCTCATCTAATAAGGTTTAGACAGCTACGAATAGAAAGGAGCTTTCTTAACCTGATATGTATCTACCAAAATCCTAAAACGGCATATCATCTGTGATGTGCAACTTCACAAAAGTGTCCTTGAAAATGACGAACAGGGCACCCACTCTCACTGCGCTGTTCAACTCTATACTGGCAATCCTGGTCAATGCAGTGAAACAAGTAATGAATTAATAACGATTGGAAAAGAGGAAAAAATGTAACAGACACAGAGCACACAAGTCAATCTGTTGACTAAAAGAGTAGTGGGTTGGAAAACCCACACATACATGGGAATTTGGGGATTGGTGAGAAAAGAGAGTGAGCCAGGCAACATGTGGTGTTGGGGGAAATGACCTTTTTATAACTCTCATTGAACAATAAGAAATAAATTCCAAACAGATTAAATTCTTATGTCTAAAACTTGATAAAACTGTTAGGAGAAAAAAAAAAAAGAATATCTTTATGTCTTTGGGATGGGAACGAATTTAAGATAAGATCCTTAAAAAAAACAACTGATTCAGATTTGTGAAGTCGACTGTAAAGGCTTATAACGGTGACCGTAACAAGGATAAACATTGCATATGATAAGAAACACCATAAACAAAATTTAAAGGCATGCAATAAATAGGGGAGAGAAAGGAAATAATAAATGTAAGAGTAGAAGTTAATGTAACAGGAAATGAGCGTGAAAGAGACATGCATGAAAGAGACATGCTTGAGAAAACCAAAAGTTAGTTCTTTGAATGTTAGAATCCTCTGGTAAGGACGGTAAGAAAGGGAGAGAGAGGAGTGAGGTAAGGGAGAGGGAGGAAGGAAGAGAGAGAGGGAGGGGAATGTAGTCAGTGTCAGGAGTGAAAAGGGGGCATTACTATAGATCATGCACATGTTAAAATGATGAAGAGAGAATATCACGAAGAGCAATATAAGATGTAAAATTTAGAAGAAATGGAAACTACCTGGAAAATGTAAGTTATCAAAGCTGCATAAGAATAGGACATACGGAGTCCCCAAACCATAAAAGATACTGATTTAGTGATTTAAAAAAAAATGCTTCTTATAATGAAAACTTCAGATCTAGATCTGAATTCACAGGCAATATGTACCAAACATTCAAGGGAAATAATTTCAATCTTACACAAGCTTTTCTAGAGAAATAGGAAAACAAGGTATATTTCCCAACTCATTTTTTGAAGCCAGCATACCCTCAAAAGAATGGGATGGAATACACTGAACTTTTATTATTACTGTATTCCATCATTACTCATCAAGAAAGTAAAAAATAATCCATAAGGCATTTGTGAAAATAGTATGAAAATTTAACAAGCTTGCTAGATACAAATCAATGCACACACATTAATTTTGACGGATATTAGAAAGTGAAAAAAAAATTTAAACGATGTCATTTTGTGATAGTGTCCACTATATTATGTTGGAATCAATGTAACAAGAACTGTGATGTGCTCAGTTGACACATCAAAGGGAGCAGCATTTTTCTAGCATCCATACTTGTTGAAGGCTTCCACTGTGAGAGATTTAAGGTTACTTAATATACTCCAAGCTCACAACTCATGTGGCTGGAGGATTGGTATTGAATTGACAACATCAGAAGAACAGGAAATGTGATGTGTTTTACGCGTGTCAATACAGGAATGATCTGTTCCTGTTCTATAGAGAATGGAAATTGGAAGTCAGACACCTTTTCCAAAAGAGGGTCTCAAACAGTTTGTAATTTTCTCTTAAATCGTTAGGAGACTTGGAGCCGT